CCTCGATGTGCATTTTTTCTGTTTTGCAGGCTCACTTTTTCTATAACATGGTGAAATGGAACACGGTTTAATAACCTAGGCTAAATCAGGATAAACACTTAGGGCAGGAACAGCATGCACCGGCCTGTCAGTATTTTCTAACTTGCCGTCATTTCTCTCTTTGCACGTTTTAGGTGAAAAACCTTTTAAATGTGATTTCGAGGGCTGCAACCGGAGGTTTGCAAACAGCAGCGACAGAAAGAAGCATTCTCACGTGCACTCCAGTGACAAACCCTACATTTGCAAGGTCAGGGGCTGCGACAAGTGTTACACCCACCCGAGCTCCCTGCGAAAGCACATGAAGCTCCACTGCAACAAGGCTCAACTCTCCAAAAGCGATGACGCGCGTCCCGGTGACGGGGGTCACATCGCGGAGACCAGTTCAACCCGAGTCTCGGATGGAGCCCATATCAGCCCTCCTCTGCCCCCAACCTCAACTCAAGATGTCCCCCTATCCCCAGAGAGTCGAGACGAGTCGACCCAGAGGTCACGTTTCCATCACACGTTTGACAGCAGTTTGGACTACTCCACACACAGGTCACAGCCCCTCTTGGACCCTTTGTTGCTACAAAGAGGCAGCTACAGGTCCCAGTCCTCCCAGTATCCCTGCGGCCAGACAGGTCACACTTTCGCCCAGAGCTCAAGGACTTTCCACACCGCGTCTCCCTTTCAAAAAAGTATTGTCAATGGATGGTACACATGCCACAGCGGTGTGGACTCTTTCCCACCAAAGCAATGTAACAACATCCCCTCGTCTCTCTGAGTTCTTGATGGGACGAATGCGGGTGAATTACACTTTATCGGACCTATTTTGTCCAGGTTATAGCCTAAACAACTTACAGCTGTATCTCTATTCTCTGTATTTTCGTGAATGTTGTATACCCAATATTTTGTGACACGTCAAATCATCCTGGGAAAATTTAGCTTTATTTGTTGTTATGGGGTTGGGTTTGGCTTTCAGCCTAAACACACATCCCCCGCAGTGGGTTATAGGAACTTTTACAGAGTGTATTTGCCTAATTGTTCGCTGTGTTACGTAATTATTAAAGATATCTATCTTAATCGAGATAAAAAATGACAAAGGATTTTATGGAAATCTGCGTGTTGAGTCTTCTGGATACATAGGCTATTACTAGAAAGTAAAAGGAGATGTCCTGCTGAATGTAGCCCTATGTGTAGGGGTCGTTGTTTAATGTAAAGTAGATGTAATGTATGTTGGTATGATAGAAACATTATTCAAGTCTTTATTTCGCAAGATGAAATACATATGATAAATATATTTTCTCAACCAGCCTGCGCTATGGGCCTGCAGCATATCTGTAATTAAAATACTGCGAGGCTCAGTACGTTTCTTCCCTCCCCTTGATTAAGTTTCACTTTTCGCCCCTTTTCATTACATATTCGTATTCTTGTTTGTATTATATGTATATTTCACATTTCTGTGCAAAGTAAGACCAGTGTTCGTTATACTATTAAACACGTTTAATTAGCATAACGTTATACTGTACATAAACCTACTGTATAATTAATTATGTATTCTATATTTTATTAAAGTGTCTATATTCTCTTTGATCAGGCGTGTGTGGTTAAACCCTATCAATGTAATTTTATCACATTATTTTTTCGTTTTTACTAATTTTATTCTTTCTAATAGCCCATGCCACATTTGCAGGTTTGCAGTTTTGTGCAAACTAAAGCACCGCCTGGATACAGCGGGAGGCAATCTGCTTTGATTGAGGTAAATCTCGTGTAGGCCCAAGTAGAGCGTATACATGTAATAAACTACAAAAGAAAATAACATTTAACAAATATACTCAAATCCAGCGAAGTGTGATGGTCATTACATGAACGACCGGTCCTCTCGCAACCTCATGGCTTCAGACTTTGCTTTTCTTACCTGCGTGAAAAAAATGTGCGTTTTTTTTACATACAGGTGTATTGGCATAAGGTCACGCCCATTCTGTCTTTGAATGAGGCGAGCCCTCGTGCGCCTTTGCTATATCCTAATAATCAACATTGCTATTCGATTTCTGCTTACGCACGCACGCGCACGCGCACACACACACACACACACACACACACACACACACACACACACACACACACACACACACACACACTTAAACATCTCACTTTGAGAGCAAGCTGCAAACACACAAGTGTAGTCTTAAAATATAGTGTTGTCCCATTTCTAATAAATAAACGCTCCATTATTATTCCTATACTTTTCTATTGATATTTCATACAAAAAAGCTAGTTACTCTATAAAGGCTAATTTACATTGGAAAATAAATGAGCTCCTCAATTCGAGTCTGAATTGATATAATAGTTTTCCACTGTTCAAAAATCACAATACCACTAGGATAACACAGATATTTGGTGTTCTGTTTGATATTAATTACCCTTAAAAGTGTTCGATAAAACATAAAAAAGAAAAAAGAGATTTCCTGGGTTTTAAATACACACAGAGTAGTTCAATATTATCTTCACTCCACCTATAAGTAACAGTCCCTGATATATTTGTTCATGTTTGCTTGTTTTTTGTAACTTTTGGAAAGCACATTTCAACAAAAACCTTCTGATATTAGAGAAATGAGCTCAGTAGATCCTGCCTGTCTGTTTCTTTACTTGCAGAGATTGAATCCAGTTCTGTTATTAGTCCTGGTGCAGAGCTAATATCATCTGCAATGAGTTATTATTTTCATATAGCTCATTCTCCATGTGTCCTGGTTTACAAATTACACCTCTCTCTAACAATAATAGTTAAAAGGGAGGGTTATTAGCTGAGTGATCAGGTTGAAGTACAGTTAATTGGACATGTAATGGTCTGTAGCTAAAAGTGATTCTGTTCTCCTCCCGCTCAGGAAAGTACTGCAATAGCTTGATTACTGTGGAGGTCAGATGGGTCAACATTTTGAAGAAAAAGGTAATGAAAAAGAAAAATCTCTGCTCCCCTGTCAGTAGAAACAGCTTTATACTTTGTACCTGTATGTATGGATGTCAGCATTTTATACCCTTAAACATACAGATGATGACTGCCATTATATATACCAATTTGCTTCACACATATCAAAAGGAAATCAGGTCAAAAGTGCATTAATTCAACATCTCTTTGAAATAAATGCTAACAGTGATCTGACAGCTAACGAGATGTAATAGGGATGTTCTTTATTCCAGTGAAAGGATTTGATGGAGGTGCAGTTGTCTGGATGGCTACAAAAATACTTGAGGTGATGCTCCAAGACTGTATTAAAAGATTTTCTTTCTTCCAGTGTAGACTGTATTACCGCTAATTCACATTAGGTTCTTTAAAGTTCATATGAATTTGAATAAGGTGCTGTTATTTGCAGTACATGCGGGATAGACGCTTATATTATTTTTGTTGCAGCATTCATACTATTTTTAAAAACATATATTTTTAAAAACGATACAGTTTTTAACCTCTGTCAGTTATGAGCGAAATATTACACTGTAAGCACATTTGAATGATTCTCCAGATTTTGCAATTCTGGGATGAAATTGTTTTTGCTCTGTGTGCTGGTTAAAAGTGGATGCTGCACCACACTCATGAGGATACATCTTTGGGGACAGTCAGATATTTTTTAGTATGCATTTTGCAGATTCCGTTTGAGTATGACTGCAGTTAATTTTAGCTTTAGCTTTCCAAGAGGCATCCTTCTGAAAGTCATCCGCAAGTTTAAGTATCTGGATAACTTCGACAACAACATTAACATTAATTGACAAGACAACAACTTCGTAAATCAGTTTCTTAAATCTGATTTTTCTAATAAGTTGTGAATGTGTACCCGAAAGGTACAGCTGTATTCTGCTCATGTTGATAAAAACAATCATTTCTATTGTTGAAGATTTTGTGATAAGTAGTGTTGTATTGTCTTAAGATATTTTTAAGTAGTTGATGTTATAAAATATTTCAGATGTGAAGTGTTTCTTTCTTATAGTAAATTGAGGTGAACTGGGTTGGCTTTGATCAGTGTACTTTAATGACGTGATGACAGAAATGTATGAGATCCCTTTTTCTTGTATCGCAACCTTATCAATAGCTAGCATCAAATGCTTTTGCTGTTACTATCAATGTTTTTAAAGTCATCCCAAGATATTCCATCTTCCAAACCCCAACTATTGTATGCGCTGCCAGTTTCTGCCCTTTTGTACTCCCTTTCTAAAAATAGTAAATCTCTCCACCGAAAACACAATGGAGGTGATCAAACATTATTCTGTGCTCAGACAAGCCTCTGTATTTGGAATATGGAAAACTGATTTTCCGTTTGTTGTGTGAGGACATGTTTAAAGCCAAAAGGCAGCAACCTAAACGGTGAATTTCACCGACTTTAGTTCGTAAGCTTTCAGTCGAGTATTCTGAACGAGCCGTGGTAATATTCCATGATCGTTGAACCCTGCCACACCCTTCCCCCCGGTAATCACAACTGATTAGACCTCCGCTCACAGTTTGCCACTTGCCCGCCGCCATCTTTTCTCTTGCACTCTCTGCCTAGCAACAAGCGCCGGCGCCATTTTGGACAGGGTAGGGTATACATCAATTTAATGTACATAAATCCATTTCACCTAGGTATCCATTGAATTGCCATCCTGCCCCCCTGCGTTTCTGTTATGCCATACTTGGGTTGAGCCCAAGCTGTGTACCAGGGGGTGGTCTGCTTTGTCACTCCAGGTCTTTGGTTTTATGCATCATCATAACCATGTATGACATCTTGCGTAACTTACACTATGCGCCTCCCATACTTTCCCCAAGTACGGTTTAGGCACTCGGCTCGGGCAGGAGAGGCTGTGTCAGCGTTGACTCTGACTGACCAAGTGTGATTTTTAATTGGATTTCTGGCTTTACCCCATCCTCCCCAGGTCAAGCCAGTGGTGCTGTTGCTCCCCAACTTGCTTTCTTTTCATCCACCCCTCTGTGCCCCCTCCCCCCTTTTTTTTGCCAGGTCCTCTTGTTCCTCCGTCTCATCTATCTCTACCCCTGCAGCTCCTGGCTATCTTCACCCTCTATGGCTCCTTCATGATGGCCCCCTAATCTCTACCAGTGTGGTTCCATGGTAAGTAGGTGTTCTCCGCCACATTCTCCCCCAAACCTGCATCGAAACCTGACTCGTAGATCTGCTATTTTGGTTCCCTGCCCCTCTCTTTATCGAAAATTGCAACCCCACATTGTAAACTGGATGAAGCGGCATGGCTGCTTTTACTTGTTTTTCTCTTTACCGTTAAAGATAGGTCGCGTCTGAGGGGTTCGTTATCAAGGCATCAATGGTGATAACAACGCATACCTAGGGCAACTGAAACAATAAACAAATGTTGATTCTCAAGGAAAAGATTGAACAAAAGGTAATACTGTCAATGTGATGAAACGTTGAGTAGAGTGAATGTGTAGCTCGTGTTACTTGTTTTTCACAAGGTAATCCGTTTCATGTCTAAGCCTGTGTTTATTTGATAGCTTGACAATTAATACGCTTTTAAAAACACACCATCAGACGCAGGGCTCTTATGTAAGACAATGCAATCACTACAATTATGTGCACATGTTTAATGTGTTTACAAACCATACAATGGTAAAAAAAAAGGAATGTCCCAGCGCTATGCTCTTGTGAATTAACCAGACTGATCCTTTAGGTTTCTTTCTCGTCTTCATCTGCACAGCAGTTTTCTGATTTCAGCGGTGCCAGCCCCCTGTGAAGTCCGGCTTGTACCAAGGCTTATTAAACTAGGCGCCTATTCACTCTCCCCAACCGTCGCTCCACTGTCAACCTAAGCCCAAGCCCCTCAAACACTCAACTCCCCGACTATTGTTGCAGAATTTGCCAAAAACTGAGTAACAGCCGATATGCAGCGGGATAAAGGGAAATGCCCCGCCTATCCTCATATCTAATGCATATTTGCCTTTTGATGCATTGCAATCTACCCCTGTGGATGGTTCTTAAAAGATGTATTTTTTCATTTATTATCCATGCCTTACATAACAGATATTTTGACATTTTGGGATGAACCAGTTTCTGAGATATCATGGGCACTTTAATGGTCTCCTATGAGCTGGTAACCGGATAATTGATAATGACTATCTGATATGAAGAATAAACAAACTGAGAGCAAAAGTTTTTAGAAATGGCTCCCCATATTTATTGCCGCCTCTTGTGATGCAATGCAAAAGGAAAATAAATAATGTTTTAAAGTCCACATGATTCCAAATTCATACACCCAAGGTTTGTTGGGAGTTAGAGTAGGTTGTGTGGAGTGAGCAGACCTTTGAAGATCTTTCAACTCCTGTAAGCTCCAGGCCTATGAGGTGCAGTGCCAGCCTTTTAAGGGAATGACCATAACTTTGGTCCCCTTGCTTCTAATCCCTCCCCCAGACCCTTGTCATCAGAGATCAACCAGGCTGAGCCTTAATGTCCTTCGCTCGCTGGCAAGGGCAGCTGTTAGCTTTCATGTATATGAAGAGCCAGATGAATATGCTTAAATCTGCACCTTGGATCAGGGATTGATGCCTTTATCTTCATGTGCACTTCTTTAGTTTATGTTCTTTGACAAGTTATCAGTTATATTTGTAGAGCCTGTTCTTAATGATTCACATTTCCTGAATGCATTTGAAGCGTTTGTAATAAAATGTTTTAAAAGCTTTGATGAATAAGCCTAAAGAGCACAATGCCTTCGATTTTACAAAAACAGTGCAACGAGACACTAAGTGCCTGTTGTCTTTGCTGTCTCTCAAAACTATCACGTTTCATTAGCAACAATTCATTTTTGTTGTGAGATACTGCATTTGAATACTTTTGTATGATTTCTCCAATCTCTGTTGTTTGAGGTTTTACTTGAAAAAGAGATCACATTGATCACGGTCCAGGGTATTTCAAAGCATCGAGTAATCGCGAGTGTTTAATTTTATCTGTTGCAGTATGCATTGCAAGTCGGCTGTGTAATCAAGCCTGTGAACTCGACATCTGAAGGAAGGATTCGTTTTCTGATCACATCCCTATTGAAGACCGTCCAATTGCTGAACATGGTTGTGGTGACGCACTCAGGCGTGCAATCCTTGGTATGTTGCCGTCAAATTAATATGTACTTGACATGATGCTGTATGTTGTTTTTAGCTGGTGTCTAGTGCTGGTTTTAGGCCTGGGGGCCCATGGGGGCCACATTTTAGAGAGCTGTAAGTGAGGACGCATGGCGATCTAACTGTTAACCCTCAACGTTACGGGAACACCCCAGGGCCTAACTCCACAATGATGGATGCAGGGTGGCGGGGGGTTAGGGGGCCCCTCACACAACCCAGGAATTCCCCTTGGGCCTTTTCAATTACAGTTAGACCAAGCTAGCTCCACACTGTGATGATATGTTGCTTTAAGGCGGTGACATTAATGAAGGGGACACATGTGATTTGGTGTGCTGGTGACCCTGAAGGGCAAGCCACAGACAGAAGCACTCTCATGGCACGGAGGCAACAGGAAGAAATGCAAGGTAACCCATTGTTGCTTTATTTATTTAAAGTCATCAATCAAATAATCCAAACTGACCAAAGTGTCATTTAGGCCCCTCGGAAGTTAAAGAACTATTGATGGAAATAGTTTATCATTATCCACAGGCTAAAGGGAGCACGAGGGGCATGAGAGAGAGTAATTAGCAAGGAAGGCTGCTTTGAGGAGCCCAGGTAACGGATTTAACAGTCGCAAAGGGATGGACTGTCCCTTCATCTTGTCCATGATCAATGAGGTAGCCTAACCTTGTATTGGCCATATGCTATGATATGGTAATGGGTTGTATGATGTGTAGGTGTGTGTGAGCACTTTTAACACATTTACCATCAAAAACAGCTGCTGTGTTTTGTTCCAGGATTAGTACTGTGCTAGTATCACTGCTGACTCAAACCTGTGAAGTTTGCACTCTTCCACAGATGACTTTCAAAAAGAACAAGGCAGAACTGTCTGTATCTATTTCTGTCTGCAGGGAATAATCCTGTGTTCGAGGTATCTGGAAGAGGCAGGGGATCAAAAATACATCGCCTATGCAAAACACAGTGTTTCATATAGTTCCTTTATTAAAGTGGGATATGGCTGATGTAATTAGCCCTTGTCCTCAGCTCTACTCCTGTATCTACTTTATCTTTAGCCTAGTGTTGTGTTGGGAATGTCATAGTATGCATTCGGTTATGTAACTGACACAATTGTGCAATCCATCTGTACAATTTGGGTGAGTCTCACAAATGTTTTATCTGCAACAAAAATAAAAAAGTCCCTTGAAACGCAACGCCTTCAGTGTAACCCCCACTCAGCTTTGAAAGATATCAGGTCAACGCCCAAACAAATTCTGATTTCTGAATAAAATTGACATGAGGAGGAAAGAAAATAGTTTACTTTAGAAACAGAAATTATACAATATCTGAGACTTTTAAGAGTGCCAGCATAACAAGCCCAGATACCACGTTTAATCCCTAAAAACTATGCATGTACTGCATTTGACTTTCATTATCACCACTTGATCAAACATATCATTAACTATGCTCTGTACATGAACTTAATTCAGAATATACCCCGTCTGAGGGGGCCATTAATAATGGCAAGAAGGAGCCTAGGAGGGAATGGGATGCCCCTCCCTCTCTCCGGCTTGTTACTACGCAGCTGTACTGTTAGTACTTCATGTGTTTTGAAATGTTATACATTTTTTTATCCTTTTATCCACACATAAAGTAAAGATACCAGCCAGTAACATAAACAACAGAGTAAACGGATCAGGAACCAGGATGGGCTGTTGGTAATACACACATGTGAATGAGTTGCCAGAGGCACCGTGAAGTCACTGACACAATTATCTAAACACGTTTTATTATTCATCTCCCTAATAAAACAGGAATTACTGTTGTTCCATGTTGTGAATCCATCATCCTGGATGCCTGTAAATGATCCCTTATCTCATTTATCATCTACCCTGTCATTTATCATTACATATTGATATTAATTGATGTTGCTTTTTCTATTAGTTCAGTTTAATGTGTGGGTAGCCTGAGCAATGATGCAGATTAATACTTGTCTTTTATTGTCCCTGTAAGCCAGATGTTTGGGGTGGAGTAGTGGCGTGCTTGATTGTGTGTATGTGTGTGTGTATGTGTGTGTGTGTGTGTGTGTGTGTGTGTGTGTGTGTGTGTGTGTGTGTGTGTGTGTGTGTGTGTGTGTGTGTGTGTGTGTGTGTGTGTGTGTGTGTGTGTGTGTGTGTGTGTGTGTGTGTGTGTGTGTGGCTGCAGCATCGTTGATGACTGAAGTCCCCCTGTATTGTAGCTCACAGATCACAGAAGTTATGAGAGACTGCTCTTTGATCATTTCCAATTCTAAAATAATTTCCTTTGAACGTTTCAAGTCACTTGTGCTTTTATTTATAAAGCCTATTTAGACAATCAAGGGGGTGCAAATAATTAGGCTCACATGCACACGAGTGTGGACATGTATTCCCTTTCAATCAGTTAAAACCAGCTCTGTTAATTAAAGTTCTGAGCTGTTACTCTGCCCAAATAATTTTCTTATTAGCTGCTGCATTCCTCAGATCTGTTGTCAGCTGAGCGTATTTTCTTTTGGTTGCTCCCATCGTTTTTTTTTTTTTACAGAAATCCCACTGACCCATATAGTTGATCTTGTTTTTGAAGCGTATAATATAGATTCAAATTTAAGAGAACGGAGGCTCTATTATTAGTCCCATTTGAGTTGCACTGCCTCCTTCTAGGTGCTGCTGTGCGTTTCTGAATTCCCTGAGTGGAGGCATTACCATCTCATTTGGGTAAGGGTGAGATTACCTCATGCAACTGAGCTGTTTCATCACAACAAATGCAGGGAGCTGTCGCTGGTGACTGTTTATACAGGCAGCTGAAGGTAGAGACATTCCAGATACATTTCACAAACATCACACATGACAACTTGTGATGTCACCTTACTGATGTTTCCCTTGAAGGGTCTTTCACTAACAACAACATCCTATTGATCCTCAGCACCATTTTAACATCCTCCTCACACCCTCTAACACATACACACCTGAGTGGGTATGGATTGAAAATGTTAGCAGTTAGCGGGCTAGCATTGCCAACACATCCTTAGGGTGGTTGTCAATTAGGCCCCGTCATTGTGGGATTGGCCCTGGAGGAGTCCTGCGCAGGGAGAGTGATGGAAATCAGCAGCGTAACACACGGCTCATCTCAGCGCTGAATTAATATGCAATACTTACATTTTCTTACTGATTAAAAGGCTGTGGCACGTGATGAGCTATCAAAACAAGAAACAAACTACTAGGATTAGAATTCTGCTTTAATTGGATAGATGAAAGGAGCAATTAGTTGCAGTTTTTTTCTTCAAGCAAACTCGTCCTCATTTATTAAAAATAACAATGCATTTGAACCAAAATTCATTTTCGGTCTTAGTTTGTGGAATTTATTTACACTCAGCGGCCACTTCTTTTGACACATATGTACAATCCATTGCAATTCAATTCAACAGTTCTCAAATAAATTCTACCTTTTACAAATGTAATCATGTTCAGGTTTTGTTTACGGAAATTAGTACATTTGATTTATTACTGAGGCTGTAATTAAAGGTGATGTTGAGCTTGATTACATTATACTAAGAGGTGTAATTTTGTCCTCCCATTTACAAATGAGGGAGGCAGAATATAAAAAAAAAGAACTTTTGAATCTAATACAGGCCAGTAAACCACCGATAATTATGACCTTAATGTTAAAACGTATTGAATTTACACCGCACCACTGAGCATCATAAAAGGACCTATACTTCATGGCAGTACAGTTGTATTGCAGTGCATTAGATTGTGGCCAATAGGTGTATTTCTGAAAAGATTATTAAACAAAATGAACATGTAACCAGTTTTCAGGTACATATCTCTAATGTAAGCAGGACTCTTACAACACACTGTAATTAATTTGTATGCAGATGATCCAACAATTTAATCTTTTTTGATTATTCAACACCATTTGGCAACAATTATCACTTCTGCTCAGGTGACATTTAATAATATTACAACTGTTTGTGTATATTCATTCATTCAATTCCTGTTTATAAAGCAGGTTGTACTCATGGGAGACCACATGAAGATGTACACATTTATCTGGTAACAATTACATACAACTACATTGTACTATGTTGTTGTATCCCAATAATTATTTCTTTACGACTTATGAATGCTGAAAACGGGGGCTCAAAGTGTTACCAATGCAACTTTCTGGCCATATTGGTGGCTCTATTTGTATTGGTTAGTTGTATTTCATTTCACTGAGAGGTGTTTCTAATATTTGTTTCCTTGTTGTAGAAATGTGATAATGCAAAATATAAACACCTCCCAGTATAACGCACTGCTACTCAACAGCACCACAAACTCCAGCCTCCAAAATGACCAGGCCATTGAATCAACACCTCTCTAAAACTGTTTCAACAAAAACTGAACATTCATGAAGTTAGCATTTGCTGCAGGGCTGTTGCATTTAACTGAGTTTGAGCTTTGTGTATCCAATAATATTCTTTATATTAGTCTTTTGAAATACCAAAAACGACATGTGTAGTAAGGAGGATGCCTTGTGCAATGATGGATGCACTGAAGATACACTGCCCACCACTTTTCAGTATTCTTTCATCCTGGCTAGCGGATAGAAAAATAAACCTTCTTATAGTTGTTGGCCTACATCTTGCTCAGTCGAAAAATGTAACGTCTATGCTACTTATTCTTTACATTCCTAGCCATGAGGGGTTGTAGGAGCTGCTGAGGGTGTGGGGGGCAGGGCTGCTTTGCGGAGTTAAAGGATATGCTTCCTGTTGTGGAAAAGGGTCGAGATGACCAGTTACACTGTTCTGCTGTTGCACCGACCTTACTCATCAATCAGAAATCAAAGCTTTGACAGTTGCTAACATTAAAGCGCTGCTGCTGGTGAGTCCTGTGCCAAGAGGCCTCTTTCTGCTGAGCATATTAATATACTGTAGGTCAAAAGGAGGCCCATCACTGATCATGAAGGGTAGGATAGATGCTCCCGAGCCACACCAGGCACGGTTCCAG